TACATTCAGATGACAAAGTTATCGGTCGGTAACTGTGATAGTGTTGTTTCAAATCAATCAATGTAATTTATAAGTTATTTCATATCTATTTACACAATTAAGACGCTATAAAAGAGTCTGGTATTGAAGCTATGAAAGCCGCAACGCGCAGGTATGCTAGGAAACAAATTAGATGGATTCGAAATAAATTGTTACTTAAATGCCAAGAAAGTAGTTTGAATGAAGCAGACATAAGTTGCGCTGGTGAAGTTAAAGTATATTTGTTGAACGCTACGTGTATCCTTTTTATTTTGCCCAATTTTCCAATTCCTTATGTTCCTGTGGATAAATCTTTATGAAGATTCTTTAACTTATAACTCATTTGTTAAACGAAAAGCTCTGGAGAAATGGAATCAAAATGTTCGTGATGTGGCAATTACCATAGTTAAAGGTATTCAAATTTTTTGTTTAATATCATATTTAATGCTACTTCCGAGATAATGAGCTAATTTTCTTTGATTATAGAATTTTTGAACAGTGGAACTGGACCAGACCCAAAATCCTTAAGTGTAGAAGCAGAAGAACTTTTGAATCCAGCGAAGGAAATGAAGTATCATCAAATAAAAAGATTAATTTTATTAAAGTTACTTTTGGTATTAGATTTTATTTTATTAATTAAAATTCATTCTTATCACAGCGCCTTTGACAACTTAAAAACTTGGGTAAAATATGAGTGCGATATTTGCAAAATTTTTAATGACAATTTACCAGTGGTGATTAATGGACTTGTCAACTGGAATCAGCATTTAAAAAGTAAATGGCATAAATCCAATATTAAACTTAAAAAGGAGATGGATATGAATTGGGGTGGGCAATTTCCACCCTGGTTCGAAGAAAGAAAAAGAAAAAAAGAAATAAGTTGAAAATATAGTACAAATATTTACTTACAGTAAATATATTTAAATATTCAATATTTAAGTATATTTACTGTAATTAAGTGAATATTTGTAACATATATTTCCCAGTAAATATCAATCGTTTTTAACCAGTGATTGGAAATAATCGGAAGGGTAATTTGAGAACTTTTCAAACTCGACATAAGGATCGATGTTATACAAGTATAGTTTGTAATAACATCGAAAGTTTTGGGTATAAACAAGCTTCAAGCTGCTGCTCTTCAAAAGGTAGGGAATAATATGATTTCTGCTAAACGATACTAGAAGTTAAAATTTTTAGCTTACATATATACAATAGTAAGTTTTATTACTCACGCTATATAATATTAAAGCTGTATAACTTGTTATTAGAACCTTTTCAAACAAGTTCTTATGATTATAAAGTTGTCATTATAGATTTGAGTGAATGTTC